AACCTTTTCCACTTTGCTAGGTATGTTGCCCTAGTGGAGGGTTTTCTGCTGCCGAGTAGGTCCTGCCTTACCAGTTCTGAGCACAGGAGCTCCAGGGGGTTTAGCTATGAAGCTTCCAGACTGTGAGATGGGGGGACTGAAGGTCGGCGTGTGATCAGGTCCAGAAGTAATGGCAATAGGATTCGGGCATCCACTGACTGCTCCAGGAGGGTGGCGTACCAACATTGGTGAGGCCACACTGGTATCACCTGAATCATCTGTGCCCTGTGTCTGCGGACCTTGAGTAGGACCTTGTGTATGAGAGGGATCGGCGGAACAGCGTACAACAGACGTCCAGCCCAGGGGAACAAGAACGCATCTGCAAGCAAGCCTGGGCTGTGTATCTGGAAGGAACAGAATTGCAGGCACTTTTTGTTGCTCCAGGTGGCAAACAGACCAACCCGGGAAAACGCCCCCCCTCTGGAAAATGTGACACATGACATCGGGGTGGATGGAACACTCATGATTGCGGAAGGATGTGCTGAGGTGGTCTGCTAGTTCGTTCTGAGCTCCTGGGAGATAGCCCACTCCATTCACCTGGAGGCGTATTATGCAGAACTCCCAGAGCTGGAGGGCTTTCCGACACAGGGGAGAGGAACGGGCTCCACCTTGCTTGTTGGTATAAAACATGACAGTGATGTTGTCCATCGTAACTGCCATGCACTGTCCTTGTAGCCTGGTCTGAAAGATTTGGCACGCTAGTCATACCGCCGTCAACTCCTTGATATTGATACGGAGCGAGAGCTTGTCTTGCAATCTTAGGCCCTGCATTTGGAGATCTCCCAAATGCACGCCCCATCCCAGAGCTGACGCGTCCGTTACCACAGACACGGAGGGCTGGGGGCTGTTGAAGGGGACTCCCTCGCACACTGTCTGAGGGTCAAGCCACCATCAGAGAGACTCGAGTACTTGCTCTGACTCAGTGACTACCGAGTCCAGCCTGTGGCACTCTGGGCAGTAGACCAAAGCAAGCCGAACTTGGGAGGGGTCTGAGCCTCATTCTCGCATGCCGGACCACATATGTGCAGGCTGCCATGTGGCAGAGGAGACTCAGGCATCCCCTTGCTGCAGTGGTTGGGTACTGCCTGAGGCCTTGAATAATGTCTGCCATCACTTGGAAGCAGGCCTCTCGCAGAAATGCTCTTGCTGTTTCAAGTCCAATACCGCCCCGATGAACTCTATTCTTTGGGTCGGTAACGAAGTTGACTTGTTCACATTGCAGAGGAGACCCAGTTTCTCGAAAGTGGATCTGACCAATTGGACTTGAGACTCCACCTTTTCCCTGGAGCATCCCCTGAGAAGCCAGTTGCCAAGATAGGGGTATACCCTGCACCTGTCTCCTTCAGAGGAAGGCTATTACAACCAACATGCACTTGGTGAACACTTGGGGGGCTGTCGACAGGCCGAAGGGGAGGACCATGAACTGATAATTGTTGTGGTCGATGTCAAACCTGAGGAATCATCTGTGAGCAGGCTGTATAGCTATGTGAAAGTACGTGTCTTTCATGTCGAGGCCAGCATACCAGTCTCACGGATCCAGAGAAGGGATAACAGCCCTCAGGGAGACATTGTGGAACTTCAACTTTTCCATGAACTTGAGATCAGGAGCAGAGCTGAGCTGGGGAGGGCGACCACCTCATCGTGGCCGACTTGCCGCCTCTAGACGGTGCCATCATCATGGCAATCAGATCCCTGGCAGCTTTCTGGAGTGGAGGGCAGGTCCAACTCCTCCACCTGGCATTGCCTTTCAGGAGTGTTGCTGGGCACTGGACTCAACGGTCTCCTTAATGGAACCAAAGCCAATGGTGCTGAGTACTCCTGCATAGGACGCACTACTGCCGTGCCCGCCGGCACCGCTGTCTTCGGCACGGGGGAGGGACCCCAGCAGTCTCCTCGTGCCATGTGTGCAGCACCGGGGAGTGGGAGAGCTGCCAGGTTGTCTCTGCAGCCTGCAGCGCTGGGGAGTGCTGGTGCCCAGGGTCTCTTAGGCCACAGTCCTTGCTCAATGCCATATCACGTACGGAGGCTGGCGTGCTCCACAAGTATGTACATGGTGCTGGGTCCTGACAGTCCGTGGCAGGCTGGGGGCAAAGAGCAGACTCCATCAAGAGCTGTTTAAGACGAAAGTCTCGCTCTTTCTTAGTCCTGGGGCAGAATGCCTTACAGATCCTGCCCTTCTCCGTCTGGTGTGTCTCCCCAGACACGCTAGGCATGAATCATGGGGGCCGCCTGTTGGCATAGGCTTACTGTAGGTTCCACAGGGCTTAAACCTGTGGGACTGAGGCATGCCCTGGAACTCAGGGGAAGGGACTGGGGGGTAGCCCCACCCCCAATACCTTATCTACAAACTACAACTATGTATACAAACTACTAACTACAACTACAAACTAAAAATTAACAGCTACTATAAACACTAAGGGAAGCACTTGCTACACAAGCAACTGCAGTTCCAACGACCACCACTGGCGGTAAGACGAAACCGAGGAGGGGCCGGGTTGGTAGAATCATATATTTGGCGCCTGCTGGTAGTAGCCCAGTAGAGCACACCTCCACCTCCTGCCAGTTGTAGCCTGATAGAGCACCCTGGGCATCCAGAGGCTTTTTTGGTCAATTACACCGAAAGGGGAAAGGGAAAGAACAAGCTGCACTAAGGGCCGTGCTTTGTCAGGTGTTTCTTTAGAACAAATTCTGTGGTGCTCACATTTGCAGATGACCACAGAATAAGAAGGTTTGTAAATGCACGAGAGCACAGAACCAAAGTGCAGCGTGACCTGGAGAGTTGCGGGAGCTAAGGTCGGGATGGTCATCAGTAAGATAAGTAAAGGCCTATACCTAGAGAATGGAAATAAACAGCACAGAAACAAACTGGGCTCTGGAGAGTAGGGGTTTAACCAAGCTGCCATATCACACCCCACTAAAACAAATTTGTTTTTATGTTGTCCCAAAATCACCAAGCAACCTAGTTGTCATTGGGAAGGCATGTGATTGCCAAAGGGAGACTGGGAAGAAGTTGAGAATCACCAGCTTCAGAAATTTCATTGCTCCAGTTGTTGTGGAGGAAATAAAACAGCTGAGTGGAGATTCTCTCTGCTTCCAGCCTGGAGAAGCTCACATCAAAAATCTCACAGCAACCAGACCTCACCTCACCCTTTCCTCAAACTGGGGTAAATGCATGCCCAGATTGGTGCCTGGCTTCCCGATCAACCTTAAACATGTCTAAATGGAAGTATTCCCGCTTTACTTCTCCAACTGCTTCAAGTTCAGACAGAGATATTCAGTAGCTCAGCCATGGTAGGAGTGTTGGCAAACAAGGATGAACACCTCCATTCTGAGGGAAGCAGCTGAAGTTTCCTTCACAAAGCAGGTGCACATTGCTTTGGCTACTGAGATGCATGTTGCCAGAGACAGAATAGCTGAGTGGACATCATCAGTGATAGGGAGTCAGGAGACCTGGGTTCTGCCCCAGCTTTGCCACTGTCTTGCTGTATGACCAAGAGCAAATCAGATAAACTCTGTGTGTCTTAGTTTCCCCATATGTGAAATGGTACTTACCTTTGAGATCTACAGATACGTGTTGTGATCATTTTGTAAGACAATGACTAAGCAGTATCAGAAGTATAAATCTTGGTTCCATTCTCCTGTTTCCATGGGACTATAAATTAAGTCATTTGATTGGTGCTTTCCCCAGGCATGCTGTGTGCGCATCAACAGACACGTACAAATATTTAAATATCCACACTTTTCTTATGGGAAAGCAGTTTGCATACTAGTGAGAAAGATTTCTTGACACATTTCTGTGTCATCTTCATTTGCATCTAACTTCTTCATTATCTGGGACAGTAGAAAGGCCACATAGCTCAAAGACAGTCTGCCTGTGAATTATATTATGTTCTCTAAAATCTAGTTTTTAAATCCCTTTTGGTAGTAAGAGGCCCTGCAGTGTGTAAACCACTGCACTACCGCCTTTATGAACTATACGGGAAAAACACACAGAAATGGGTAACTCAAGAAACTTTATTTTATTACTAAATAAGCATTTCAGGGCTTATCCATGGAGTTCATTGGGAGTTTTGCCTGAGTAAAGACTGCAGAACCTGAGGCTCATCTCTTGTATGTCATGAAGACCTATCTATTAGAACAAATACTAATTTGCACTTTGCTAGAACTATGCTCTTCTAATCCCTGCATTTAACTTCCCCGGTCATGGGGAATTTACATACTAATCTATCTCTTTAAGAATCTCTTACAACGCTAAGTCTGACAGAAAGCTGCAACTTGAACAAATATTATTATATAAACAGTTATGTAGATAGGCACAGTATATAACAAACAAAAAATACCCAGAGGGAATTGTGTCTGCAAATGAGGGGGATGTTTACAGGACATCAAGGTATTACAGGATGTTGTCTTAACCCATTTAAAAGCAAATGTGGCAACCACAATCATTCAACTGCAAAATAAGTTTTCGCAAAAAGAAAAGGAGTACTTGTGGCACCTTAGAGACTAACCAATTTATTTGAGCATGAGCTTTCGTGAGCCACAGCTACATCTGATGAAGTGAGCTGTGGCTCACGAAAGCTCATGCTCAAATAAATTGGTTAGTCTCTAAGGTGCCACAAGTACTCCTTTTCTTTTTGCGAATACAGACTAACACGGCTGTTCCTCTAAAATAAGTTTTGTTTACCTGCAGTTAGATCCCTTATACAAAATCTCTGAACAGGAAAGCTTTAGTATAATTAAACAACTCATGAGCTTGACATTAATTCAGGTAAATCATTACAGGTCATCCAGTTACTGTGTTCTAATGTTGTTAAAATATTAAAGTTTAAATTAATTTTGATAAAGCAATGTGTTTGCTGCATAAAATGTTAACACAATATTCAGACTAGGAAATACATGTCTGTACATTTAATAATAAAAAAAAATTCCAAATATTTTTGCATAATGGACCCATTTGTAGTCTATATTGTAAACACAGAATTTAAGAAATAGTCTGGTTTACCAAAGAATATTTATACAGAAATATTTTAATGCTAAATATATTCACACAAATGATATGGAAACAGATTGTCCCAAACCATCAACATATCTTTGCAACATACCAAGAACTGCGGTCAAAAACATTGGGTTTCAAAGTTGCTTACAAAAACAGATCAACTACAAAAGCTATTACAATAATTTTTTAAAATCCTATATGAATGCAATTGCAATCTAGAAAACAAAATACTCCAAGTGACTGAAAAAAAAAAATTCTGCAAACCACTAGAGTATCTATCGAACAATTAAATAATATATTCTGCCAAAGAATATGTACAGTAGATAGCTTAAAGTATATTTTTAAATAACCACTTATTAGACTTGATCACATTTTATTCTCAATTCAAATTTTTATTTAGAATTAAAATTTATAGTTTAAAAATTATACACATTCCGTATAAAAGTTTAAAAAAATACATTGATTTATTGATAAATGTGTCAGGTTAAATTTACATTTTAAACAATATTGTATTGCATATTTTAACACTTATAACAAAAATAAATTAATGAGAATGAATAAATCATTTGAAACTATGCTCAGATATTCCTTTAGAAAAAGGTGGTAAAACTGTACCCTAGTTCTCAATGACATTCTACTGTAAATAAATAACTATAAAACCTGGCAATATATAGAAGTATGTACTAGCTAAAAGCACTTACCACAGGGCAAAAGGAAAGATATGGAAGGATGCTCACATACTGAAAAGAAAGAAGAAAGTTAAATCCTATACTGCTAGTTGATTAAGACCGGATGTTTGGATTCCCAGTAAAAATGCTGTGGCCTATAAAAGAAAAACAATGGGTTTGTGCCCTTTTGCTTGTTACGACATTACAAAGGTGGCTTGAGATTTTTAAAAAATTTAACAAATATTTTCTCTGCTTTTTTTATTTTAGAAATTCAGTTACCTGCCATGGAAGACACTATGGATGACTGGAGATATGATTGTATTATGAGATCACAGATACCAAGGAAATGAAATTTGATTAATTGAGAGGGGATGTAATTTTCATTCCGACTATTTAAAACTCTTGATTTTGTTTGTTTTGGTTAACACCTATTTAATTAAAACACTTGGGGGTGGGGGGGAAAACGACTGCCTTTCATCAATATTTATCACCTCCAAGTTCCCAATGAACATCTGAATCATGCAAGATGACCTCCAAAGGTATTAAAGATTTAACAGTTTGCTATTTTGAAGGTAAAATAAAAAGCGCAATCCCCCCCCACCAAATAAAAGCTTGAAAACCCAAAACCCTTTCAGACCTTCTTTATACGTCAGAAAGGATTAAAAAAATAAATAGCACAATCCTTTCCATCCCCCTTCTTTGCCTGAAGGGCACCTTTAAAGGGAACAGACAGGTTCACTGGAAACACTTAGGAAATGCTGGAATAATTCTTAAAACTAAACTGGATGGTTTCTTTATGTAGTTAATAGTCAACAGCTGTGAACTGAAGCGTAACATGTGACACAAGGTCATTTATATTAATGATTCACTATGTCCTCTCTCTCGGCACATATTTCTGTGCGTAAAATCAAATGCTACATTGCTCAAGCGATTCCTTGTTTTGGCATCACAATGTGGAGCTCTTTAGAAATGGTTTCCTTATCTAATTCAGATTTCCCGCTTCCCAATATAACTATACAAACATGTACATAAATATATACAAACAAGGTTAGAAAAATATTTAATTTTTGCAGGTTTAAATAATTACTGAAAAGCGTTAATACAGGAATACAATAATATTTTGTACAGTTAAACTTTTACATACGTATAAAAAGCATTTTTTCATAACAGCCTTTGCACTGCAAATGAAAAGGTGACATACATGGTAGAATGGGATCTACCTAAAGTTCATGCTGCAAATCACAGGCCAAGAAACACTAATCCTCTACTAAGAGGCATGTCCGTACCAGGTATAAAGTTTCAGGAACTAAGAGTGCTGTTGCTACACAGAGCAGACAAAGATGGCACCTTAGCTCCTGTCACATACTGTCCAAGCTTCATAAGTGCATAGTACTTTGAAGGAGTGAGAGGGGAAATCACTTCTTCCTAACATCATTTCGCATAGTCTAAAAGGCCAACTTAAACCACAGAGGGTGAGGCCAATGTATTCTTCTAATGAGAAGAAAAATGATCCACAATAATGGATTGGCTAAATTGGATTTGTTTATCCAAGGGAGGCCACAGATTATTCCACAATTCATTGAAAAACCCACAGACAGACTTTTCTGAAGAGACGGGTGGAGGAACAGGGAGGTATCAACAGCAGGTATCACGCAAGGAAATTAGTAAGTGATATTTAGTTTGTTTTTGTTGAGTTCCCGCTCCAAGTTTCCTATCAGAGTATCAATACTTTCTTGCAGGTCTTTGAGGTTTACTCTGTGGTCCACTGCTGAATCTATTGTTTGCATTGTCAAATAGGTCTGAAATGTATGCTCTTTAGACGTGGATTTTGCATGTTCAATCTGTCTATCTGGTCCATCTACTTTGCTGCAATCTTCCCCACTTTCTGTATCTTCTGAAGGAACATCATCATAGTCTGCTTCATTTAGGGTCTCCTTTGGATTTAAAAAGTAGTTTTCCCCACAACTGCTCCAGTCTCCTGCATAGCGATTACTTGAGGGACTGTCTAGTCTGGCTGGCCGGGGCCTAAGTACCCCTGACATTTCAGTACTGCTCAAATTCAACATCTGAGGCCGCTGCTTCTTGGGTCTCAGATAATTCAAAGACGACTGGTTCCCTGGAAACATGTTTGAGTATGTTGATTCTTTGGCAGTTGAACATTGCACTAGAACAAAGAAGAAGTTTAATGAAAATCATAACGATCAGATTGCTAGTAGAGACCAGCAATGAAAGGTTGTCCATTTATTTCACTCTACTTTACACACTCAAAACATGCATTAATACATGCAAACTTATGGCCAACACATTCCACTATTATTTTTTCTGCCATTATCTGACATCACTTAGATTAGAAGGAAAATCTAATGGAAAGCTCAGTTTTGAAGATTCATGCCATATTTAATCCGCAACTGAAAAAGTCCATTTAAAAACAGAAAACTTCCAGAGCGTTGATTAACTCAACTGCATGAGTTAATCATCATCTAGCTATGGTCAAATAAAAGCAAACAGCTTAGCTCACAGGCCTCTTCCAAACTAAATGGTGTAACAAAAAGCAGGCACCACTTGTAGAGGTTAAAAAACACAATAAAAATACCACCTCGAGAAACACCTAGAGAAGCTGAAAGCACATCAGAGTTGAACTCTTGCATTTCTCTTTTGTCCCAAGTTTTGTGCACTACCAGGAGAAGCTCTTTTGTATTAATTTATCTAAGCAGCCATAACTCCATGTCAAAGATAAAATAAACCATCAAACCCATTTGAGTGTGTTACCTGAACTCATGATTACACAGCATAAGTTACTAAGACTCCTCCTCTGTTACCGGCTTCCTATGGTAAACAGTACAAATATTTTTACTGACCCATGCCTCCTAAATACCTTAACTTCTTTTTGCTGTGCAGTGGACTATTACCTCTTGAAATTAAAGAAGCAGGTTATGCATTCTCTTTCACTGCTAGAAATGTAGCATACACAAATACCTAGAGATCAGGAAGATTCCAACTCGGTCACTTTTTGATTAACGTCCTCTATATTTAAGCATAAAGGGCTCAGTCCTGGGAGGTCTCAAATGTTCTTCTCTTTGGACCCATAACTGGTCTCTATGCAAGACATTAGTCTCATTTTAGGTATACCACAGTAATCTTCAAGAACTTTCTTGGCTTTTTGTTTTATTTCACATTAACAAAAGTCTTTCTGTTTGGACTATGCTCCATTAACACAAAGGGTCCCAGGGTTAGCAAAACTTGCCGGCTTTACACTCTCCCACTGAGCAAAGACCCATTTGTTTTCACTTGGAAAAATAAGGAAATTGAAGCTGTGCACAACATGTTTATTATCAAATTTGCTAAATCTACAGGCAGATTAAGTTTAAGAGACTAGACTGATCTTTCCTTCTTGAGTCAGATTTTTTTTTTACCCCCAGAATATTGATTTACATTTAAGCATTCATATTTTACTTTAAATTTCACCGTAGTCATTGTTCTGCACAGTTCTTGTAAACCAAAGGTACTGTACAGTATTGGTTTGTACACTTTTATTACAGGAGGGATGGAAACCTCTTCTCTACTTATGGTATCTTTTGCCTGCTTGACAGTATTGCATGATCCTGTCTAAAAAGCTACATTTAGTAGCTTTAGTTTCCCAGCAGAAGCGATCATGTTGTGAACTAAGGTACCAACTTGTTCAAATCCCACCTTAGTTTGCAACTAGAAATACAACCCATGTTTTCATTTCTGTAGGCTGAATTAGCCAAACCTATAGCAAGCAGCTCCATTATTAGTCAATGACTGTTGAGTCGTTATACTAAAGCACATCCACAATGAAACAGATGTACATTTGTTACATCTTGAAGGAATAGGAATCCTGGCCCCCTAAGTGTGGAGGCAGTGCCAGGACAGGATCATTGTCAGACCAGAAGAATATGGAAGACCACAGCACTGCCATTTATCCTTTGGATAAGCAGCTGTTCCAGTTCTTCTGATGGGGACCATCCCCTCAGGGCCTTCGACTGGCTTCACAAGACTGCTGTGACAGTCAGAAGTAACACTGGCTCCCCACAAAGTGCTGGTCTAATGGCTGAGAATATCTGACTGGCAGTGGGCATTAGACATTTCAATATCCAAAACAAAACACCCCAAACCAAATGGATGAGAGTTTGCATACTTATACTGGGTTTTTCTTCCTCTACGCAATTTCCTAACAAACTCATCATTCCTATTGCCAGGATATAAAGTGTAAGTAGGTGCTCACAGACAGAGGGATTGCTGCAGCTGTTGTAGACCTTAAAATGGCATTAGCATGCGGTGCAGTGATTTTGTGCCAAGCATTTTTGGCGGCAGCAGCAGCATGGATACTAGTGATATTCCCAGGGTGGAAGTTATTGCTTGAGATAGTGATGAAGAGGTATGCCCGAAGGCTCAGTCACTGTCTGTCCCACAATATGATGTATGCTGATCAGTATCTAATGTAGCACAGGAAACCTTAGGGTACTTTTAAAAAACACTTCTCCATGGTATCTTCAGAAATTTGGCATTTCTGTGGTAATTAAACGAGCCTGCAGAAGACTCTAGTGTTTCCCTCCACTTGTTTGTTCATCCTACCGCCCCCACCCCCCGCATTTCACAGCTCCACCCAAAGACAGATTACATCTTCCCAAACAATTCTCTGACTTCAATCATTCTAAAGACTCTCAAAGATAATAACCACAGTTACTAGCTAGATAAAGCAGCACCCACTTTGAGATCTTCCTCCCAAGAAAAAAGGAGCTAGGGTACACCTGGTGGAGTTACAAGATTAATATTTAAAAATTTGGACTTCATATACTTTTATTTCAAAATATATTAGTACATATATTTGTGATCTTAAAAAACAAAAACATTAATAAACTTTTGAAGTTCACCTTTATTCCCACTTATGCAGTTATTATGTAATAAACTGCAGACTGCACTCATTGTACCCATATGCCTGACCTGCACTTTGCCTGCTAATCCATCTCCCCCTCCAGGAAAAACACTTCAAACTGTTTCAACATAAACTTAAAATGGTTTCAAATGGCCATTAACTTTTATTTATTTATTCTTACACAACTTGCCAGAGAAATATTTAATTCTTTCCTTCACACAGTCCTGAGTTGCAGGATTCCTTCCTGGTGGTTTCTGGAATTAAATGCTTTCAGAACCATCCAGTGAGAAACTGGGCAGCTCTCTCTGTGAGTTGTCTGCAGATAGAAAGAGCTGGAGAACCACTGCTATCCATCACTGGAAAAGTGGAGATTCCCCGTTTTCTAAAAGGTACAGCATTTTTATTCTTTATCCCAAGCAGATGATAGATATCAACCTCAAATTCAATTGTGATATTATGTTGTATGGGAAAACTATTTTAGGTAAATTTTTAGGTTTTGTAATAATTATGATTTTCCTCTCCTTCCCGGTCCTGTATTTTGACTCTTGGTATGAAGGATTTATTGGTAAAGAGATACACAAATACTTATTCTCAAACATTTCTGAAACAGATTTTCTGTAATAAGAATGGCATATACAGAATATATGATGGCCTTCATACTTCACTTATACCTGAGTCACTTGCCATCCCAAACACATGCCACAACATAGCCTCAGACATTTCCTATATATCTACTGTTAATCTTATACGAAAGAACAAGGATTTCTTCTGTTTGAGTTAAAACTAAATAATCTCTGTGACTTGGATTTGGTTTAAATCTCATATCAAGTAGTTTATGTTTCAAGGATACTTTAATGCAAATCAAATAGTTTCCCAAGAGGCTTTAGTATGTCCTAAAGGCAAAACAGATGAAAAAACAGTTCATGAAATCACTATAGTTAACCTCTGCAATCTCAAAAATAAAAATTTTAATTCTGTGCACATTTGAGAAACACATATTAACAAGCAGGTAGGTAATGGAATAGATTACTTCTGATCACTGTCACAAATCAGATTACTATGAAACTAAGTGGGCTTCAATGATCATTCACATCAGGAAACAAGAGATATAGCAGACCTTCATCTTCCTCCCACTTACATATCTCTTGGTGACTGATGGATTCTGTTGGCCAGGGAATATTTAACTATTATAAAAAGATACTAAAGAACCCCACAATAATCTTCTCAAACTCCAGTTTACAACCATGAGACTGCAATAGCTGAGCCTGGTACTCTGGATTACTGCAGGATCCAGTTCAATAGCTAGCTACTAAACAGGAGAGAGAGTACAAAAATAATTCATAAGGGGCCTAATCCAAAACCCATGGTAGTTAATGCAAGTCTTTCCACTGACTACAATGGGCTTTGATCAGGTGCCTGAACAGCTTAGGGCAGAGGTGGGCAAACTACGGTCCGTGGGACCGTCCTGCCTGGCCCCTGAGCTCCTGGCCTGGGAGGCTGTCCCCCGGCCCCTCCCCTGCAGCCACGCCACTGCACGGGCAGCGCTCTGGACAGCAGCGCGGCAGCTTGTCTGGCTCCGGCCAGGTGGCGCGGCTGCCAGACTTGCTGCTCTGAGTGGCATGGTAAGGGGGCTGGGGGTTGGATAAGAGGCAGGGGGTCCCAGGGGGCAGTCAGGTGACAGTTGGATAGGGCAGAGGTTCGGGGCAGGGGGTGTCAGAGGACAGGGAACCTTGCAAGGCCCCCCAGGACTCCCACACCTATCCAATAGGTTGGATAGGTGTGGGAGTCCTGGGGGGCCTGTCAGGGGGCAGGAGTGTGAATAGGTGTCGGGGCAGTCAGGGGACAGGGAGTGGAGTCCTGGGGGGGCAGTTAGGGGTGAGGGTCCTGGGAAGGGGCGCTCAGGGGACAAAGAGTAGGGGGTTTGGATGGGTCACGGGTTCTGAGGGGGGCAGTCAGGGGGCAGAAAGTGGGAGGGGCCGGATAGGGGGCAGTGGCCAGGCTGTTTGGGGAGGCACAGCCTTCCCTAACCAGCCCTCCATACAGTTTTGGAACCCTGATGTGGCCCTCGGGCCAAAAAGTTTGCCCACCCCTGCCTTAGGAAATGAGAAGTTAGCAGCATCCTTCCACCTCTGAAGCACAGATCCGAACAGAACTATGTCCTTCACTTGCATTCTGGCAGGTTCATTAAAAAAATATCAGCGTTTCCCTTCCCTTCTACTCGAGCCTGTTCCCAAGAGCTGCTAAGCACATGAAATCCACAACGAAGTGAATGGGAGTTATGGGTGCCCTGCACCTCTCAGAGATTGGCTCATTACCTATTTTCCCAAAGCCTTCTGCTGCACAATTGTACAGCTGGAGTCTCAAATTCTGACTGGGGCTTCTAGTCACTATTGTAATACAAATAATAATTCAGCAGGTCTGTCTGTGCAAGTTAAGAACCCATAAAACCAAAAGAATCTATACCTGTTCAGGCCAAAGCCAGCAAAATGACCAAACACATCAGAAACCTGAGTTAGGTCGTGTGTAGGAGCACCGCCACTAGGTGGAGTTTTTTGCCTATTTCTGTATCTTATCACAATTGCTTGAGAACCACACACAAAATACACGAAAAATCTTGTCATTTTCAGTTGGTAGATAGATCACCAAAGCACAGGATCTCTCACTGAATGACACATTTTGATAGAACAGTTCGATACAGTAGATAATAAAATTACTGTGGTCTCTTTAGTATGTTGTGACATATTAACCAATAACTGAGAAGAGCCCCAATACCATTTGTATACCCTGTAAACCACACTCTATAGTCACACAGTAAAAGATCTGGTTATATTTTAGGATCTGTTGACATTGCTTTCTCATCAGACAGAATTAATTTCATAAATTTTATTACCTGGCCATAGCTGGAGCAAATAATGAAGAACTTCTATGTGTTTTTTGAAGTCCAGGGCACTAGCAAGCTCTTCTGAATCTGTAAAGACTCTGTTATTATGATTGGAGGTCTCCTGCCTCTGGCTCAGTAAGACAGGCCCAAAACACACAGCTAAATTCTGGCATGTCATCTTATTTACTTCATGATAAGATGCCACCAATTTCAGGTGATCCAGCAGCATCTTTAGGGTTGCCTAAAATGAAAAAGTTAAGTTTCAGGTAACTAGATACAGCAAAAATACAGTCCGTTATCATGCTATGGCTCTTGCTCAACAGCGCTATTTTCAAGGGTATTTGTTACATATCTAAGGCTTTTCCATAACACAATCACTGCAGTATCTAAGCACTGAACATCAAGTTGTATTAGACTCCATTACAGTGCAGGCTGGTTGTCTTGGGCAAAAAATTTTTCTCTTACTTGACCTCTGATCTACGTGTATAGATTTTCTTACAGTGAAAAGAGGACATCAGAGAAAGGAAAGAAACTGAAGAAGCAGCAGGGACACAAGAAGTCAGTCTGGCTTGATAAAAATAAAAATTGACCTCCATCCAGTTTTCTGGCCACCCAGGTCTGCCTTAAGTGGAAATGACTTATTAGAATTACCTCTTTTTCAGCATTCAAAATGCTTAGCTTACAAGGATTCTTTTGCAAAGGGGAAGTGTCTTTCATTTAATATTAAGGACTAGATTCTGGTGCTTTTACACATATTGTCTAGCTCCTTACCCCAGTGATAGTTCCACGAAACAAAGTGGGACTAGAAGAATACAATACGACTCAACAGGCGTTATGGATGGCCAAATCTGGCCCTACATGAATTGAGTATTCTTTAAAACTACTGGATTGTCAGCCATGGACACTCAAGTCCTTTGTACCGCACCCCTCAGTTAGAAGGGTAACTTCTAGGAATAGTTGTAATCTTGAAGAAAAGGGCTTTGTTTATGAATGTGCAACCCCATAAACAATGAGGGGTTAGTATCTGCTCAAAATGTTCAAGGCTGCTCCTTTAATCTCTCCTGAAGAACACATATCATCAGGAAGAGAGAATGGTACCTCAGGCAATACATCACATAGTCATAGGATAGGGTGGCCAAACTTACTAACCCTCCGAGCTGCATATGATAATCTTCAAAAGTTTGAGAGTTAGATGTGCCTACCGAGGCTCAGGCTTCAGCCCCGTGGGGAGGGGAATCTCAGGGCTCAAGCCCTGGCAGTCATGCCCCATGGGGCTGAAGCCCCACCACCTCACCGCAGAGAAGAAGCCACAAGCTCCCCCCCCCGACTCCTCCAGTGTGGTAGGTGGGGGGGCTCTGTTAGCTGCACTTTAACTGTGAAAGAGCCGCCTGTGGCTCATAAGCTGCGGTTTGGGCACACCTGCCATCGGATGTGCACCTCTGAGAGCAATGGCACTGTACTGTTATGTGTTAAACAGTAAGACCAAGAAGTTAAGCAGTCGTTGAACGATCAGAGAACAGAAAAGATGTACAAACACAGAAGCAGGACCTGCTCCTTTCACCACCTCAAATGCAGTCCTCCTCGATGGAGAATGAGCATTCAATTCTGCAGCGCAGACTAGCTGCTGTCTATGGGATCATTTTATTTATTACTGAAGCATCCGTCCTGAACTCTGGGCACTTTACAACACAGAAGTGAAAAACCAGCAAACAGCTGGCAATCAAGTCAATAAAAATTTCTTAAAGGAACATTAATTCATCTTTTAAATTAAGGTAATAAAACACTTAACACAAGCACATTTGCTGGCTAAAGGTTAAACATTTACTACGTTCTACTTTGCTTAGAAGCAATTTGCTTGTCCATTTACAGTAAACACATTAAACTTAATCAAATCAGTTCGCATTCTTTAGTTTTTCTGTTAATAACCTTTAACTTTTGCTCTTGTAAAATCTATTTATGCCAACATAAATTATGTTGGCATAAATAGATGTATTAACATTATTATAACATTATTATAACATTCAATTAAACATTGAAGGTTAAAGTTTTATTGCACTATTGTTAATAATAATAATTCAGCAAGAGGGATTTACAGAGTGCCTTTCAGACTGAATCCTCCCACAGCACTCCATAATCTATATACAGGGTTCACTTTGCCCGTCAAGGATGCACTGATGCTCTTGGATGGAACACGGCAGCTCTTACGCTACAACATATGGCAGCTTATAGCCCTATCACATATGTTTAGGGGAGAGGAATGCTATTACTCAGGTAAGCATTGGCCAGGAGACCCAGGATAACAAAAAGAGCTCTGGGAATTTAATACAACTCATAGTCAGAGTTTTCACAATATTAAAAAATACCTGTATGCCATTTTTAATTCAGTTTTGTACACCGGAAGAGGTAAATCACACAAAGTACAAATTAAACCCAGCAATGCAGATCTTAAAGTTAAAGACAGCTTGAAAGTGTTATCTATCAAGTGGGTATTTGGGTTACAAATAGGAAGTATAAGAACTCAGCAACATTTATGTGTAGTCTAATAAGGGTTCCTTCCCTTTCTGCAACTGGCGATTTATTATGTTTTTAGCTGGCCAGTAGTACTCACCTTTTCAACATCTGGCAGACAATCCAGAAGGGCCACCGTATGCTCAGAGTCACTTGGGTCATTTTCACAACCGCTTGCTGTCATTTTCAAGGGATTTTTCACCATGGCATCTAACACTGCTTCATAGAGCTGCTTAGTTATCAGGGGAGAGGGCAGCTCTCTTAGATAATCCTTGAGGACACCTTCACAAGAGACACAGGAACAGATACATTTAACAAACTGAAGACTCTCACGTTGCAAAATTTCTTGGGAGTTGTAAGGCACATAACCTGCACTCCTCCCACAAGAGAATTCGCCAGGCTGTTTTCTACATCTTACATTTGCATAGGGGAAATAAGAATAGACTAAAATCATATTATTTGGGGAGCTCCCAAGGGCTTGAATTACTGGGAGTGTAATTGCCCAATGACGTTATTTCATTACTTCGTAACATTTTGGGGTTCTGGAAACTTTTTCAAATATGCTTATAGCACTATTAGTACTAGACTTACCTCAGACCCACTTCAGACCTCTCTCTTTTATATTTACTGTAGTATCTAATGACAGGTTTCAGAGTAGCAGCCATTTTAGTCTGTATTCGCAAAAAGAAAAGGAGTACTTGTGGCACCTTAGAGACTAACAAATTTATTTGAGCATAAGAAGTGAGCTGTAGCTCACGAAAGCTTATGCTCAAATAAATTTGTTAGTCTCTAAGGTGCCACAAGTCCGCCTTTTCTTTTTGTAGTATCTAAGCTCTTCACAATCTTTAAATGAATGTATCTTCAAAACATCCCTGAGAGGTAGGAAAATACTATTATCCCCATTTTACAGATGCCGAATAGATGAAGCTGCAGCATCCCAGGCTTCAGCATGGGCTGTACAACCCAGTCCAGAACCCTGGGTAATGACCCAGGTGGCTAGCTAGGTTAAATCATACATAGCCTGTGGCTGCAGTGTACACATACCCTCAGTGATTTGCCCAGGAAGTTTGTGGTAGATCAAGAATTTAACCCAGGTCTCCCAAGCCAGTCCCCATCCACTGAACTATCCTTCCTCTATTTTTGCAGTGCCAGTATACAGAGCACTTTAGAAACTGCCTGTGTTGTGCACAGTAGGTGCAGTAATGACTGCTACATGAGAGCATTTTACTTCTCCATGATAAAAATCTCTCCAGTTCTGACAGGTCACAAATGCATTCCACCAAAACTTGTCATACGCAATTCATACTAGTATTAAAGTCACACACAAGAATGAAGATTAACTGCCTTATTTCGAATCAGAACTCTCTTTCGCAGACATTTTCATAGTCCAGGACACTTTAAAAATTTGAAAACACCTTAAATACACCCATTAATGACAGAACTCTAGCAGCCCCAGAATGAGAGTGATATTGTTCTCTCAATACAGGATTATTCATACAAATAATGCTTCTCATTGCTGTTCAGTGCAAGTCTACAAGTGCATCAAAATTGGGACTCTGCCCCCACTGGGTTAAGATTGCTCTCTTGCTCTTCCCCAGACCCTTTTGTTCTGCTCCACACTACTTGCTGGCTCTGCTGCATGACAGTGCAATAGAGCTTTTGTTAGGCTCTCAACAGTGCTATTTACTACACCAGCTCCTCTGCGTTGGTGGTTCTACCATCTTCTGTAAAAGACTCTGTCCTTCCAGAAGAAAAGCAGTGCAGTACTACTGTCTAGAATTATTCAGACCCAGAATACCAAAAGAGAAAATAACATAAAAGTTCTTGATTACTCGAATAACTATTCTGCATTTACATTAACTTATACTGAGGCCCACAGACAGTGTTTTAATCCAGGTGAAGGCACCAGAGGATGCCTGACATATGACAGGTGCCTGATACTCTCAAAGGAAAGATGCCTGTATGGGTGGGCACATGCATGCATGGAAACTGCATGCTATCAGTGATCTCATCCACAGTTCTCTCAAGGGTGAGTTGGAGAATGTAACTCCAGGATCCTGCCATTTATAAGAAGTAGGGAAAGAGCAGAAAAGAAGCTGACAGTAGCCTTCCCACATGTCTGCTGTCTCAGGAAAGGGAAGGGATAGCTACAGTAACTAGGAATGACCTAAATCTCTCTGCTATGCCAAAGTCTAGTGACACACGGCTTCATGTGTGCCTGGTGATTAATTTCTTTCCTATTCATCTCATTGTTTCTTACTTTGGTTTATAAAATGTGCCTGATTACCAAGTACCAATAAAGGCCATACTCTGCCTACTAACACGAATCCAAAGCAGAAAAGAGCAGCTGTTCCCTAAAACAAAAAACATCAACCCCACCCAACGTCCCACTTTCTAACCACCTGTTGCATTTACAGCTGCTGCACTAGTTAACAAGTAGATCAGTGGTCACAGAATAAAATGGATACAGCATCCATTCCCATTCATTGACATTTCCACCTATCACCTCTTTGGCAACTATATGTCCAAGCCCAAGAAGTGCAGAACTCCTGCAACTCTCACTAAACGTAAGACTGTATCAAGATTACAGACTTTTGCAGCAGTGAATGCAAGGACCTACCTCTGAAAATTTTCTTGATCCCAGAAAACACTAACTAGTAGAGAATTACTGCTACAGTTCCAACATTAAGATGCTGAAACGAGGGACATGCAGATGACCATTTATAAAGGTCATTTTGGAAAGGATTGGGGTACAAAGGGAGAAGGAAAAGGAGAAAAGAAATGTGATTCTGTGGGATGCCAACAGCCAGGAAGCATTTCACTATACCTGCTCCTCTGTGAGCCTCTCCATCTGTCTAATATAGAATCAAGGAAAAGGGCAGCGGGGGAATGGGTGCGGGGAGTTAACCTCAGCATTTGAAAATTTTTGTAAACAGGTCTAAACTCCTGGCTAATACTTCAGACTGAGTACTATTTCAACTGCTTACAGAAAAAACAAGAGCACTAATCATAGCCACTTGGAAACGACAAACATAGGCCAGACATCTAGAAGCAAAAAACACAGTATTATGAAAACAAGGAAACCTCCTAAAGATGTGTAGCTTTTTACCTCTCTCTGCCCTACCTCTTTTACTACTCTCATTTAAAAAAACTAAATTAAAAAAGGCAATCTCTGCTACAAAATGTCCAAGCACAGCGTATCATGCAAATAACCACTTTAATTAAGATGAAGCTCAGTTAAACATATTACAATCTGATATTTCATTTTAGCTAAAACTCCTTTTCATAAAATATTACCATAATTAACTTTGGTTCGTGGCAGCATCTAATACAGGGATGGACAAACTATGGCCCGCGGGCCGCATCTGGCCCGCCAGCCGTTTTAATCCGGCCCTCAAGCTCCTGTTGGGGAGTGGGGTCTCGGGCTTGCCTTGTGCCAGGCAGGGAGCAGGGTCGGGGCCGCACCACGCAGCTCCCAGAAGTAGCAGCATGCCCCCCCTCCCTCTAGCTCCTATGCTTAGGGGCAGCCAGGGGCATCCGCTCTGCATGCTACGCCTGCCCCAAGTACCACCCCCGCAGCTCCCGTTGGCCAGGAACCACAGCCAATGGGAGCTGTAGGGGCGATGCCTGCAGACAGAGCTGGACATGCACAGAGATGCCTGCCTACACCTCCGCATAGGAGCCAGAGAAGGGACATGCCGCTTCTTCCAGGAGCCGCTTGAGATAAGTGCCACCTGGAGCCTGCACCCCTGAGCCTCTCACAGCATGCTAACCCAACCCCTCGATCCCAGCCCAGAGCACCCTCCTGCACCCCAAACCCCTCATCCCAGAGCCCACACCCCCAGCTGGAGCCTGCACCCCTTCCCACACCCCAATCCCCTGTCCCAGTCCTGATCCCCCTCCTGTCCTCCGAACGCCCCGGTCCCAGCCCGGAGCACCCTCCTACACCCCAAACTCCTCATCCCCAGCCCCACCTCAGAGCCTCCCCCCCACCCCACTCTCCTGCTCCAGCCTGGAGCTTCCTTCTGCACACCAAATTCTGCATTTCTGGCTCCACTCCAGAGCCTGCACCGCCAACCAGAGCCCTAAACCCTACCGCACCCCATCCCAAATTTTGTGAGCATTCTTGGCCCGCCATACAATTTCTATTCCCAGATGTGGCCCTCAAGCCAAAAAGTTTGCCCACCCCGATCTAGAATGATAGAGCTGAAAGCAGGAAATAGAGAGGTATAATTTTAAGTATCTGCCAAACACAGGACACATCACTCCCCAAACCATGACAGAAATACCATCACTTTTGTGTTTTTTAACAAAGCAAGAGTTGTTACAAATCTCAGTGCAAAGCTTGCCCTATGAGCCAGCTGTCAAGTAAACTGTCACTAAAGATTTTGTTAAAAATTAATTTTGCATAAACACAGAGTGGAGAGATTTAATTTTTCCTCCTTAGATGGTCTTCATACGTGAAATATAACTATTAATCAATCTTTGTTCTTATTTCTTTGAAAGAAAAGGAAAAAAGGAAAATGTACTACATTGAAATAATGTTAGGAAAGAACAGTCACAATTGTAGCAAGTCAGAAAATGGGGACCTAAGATTCCAAGAGCAACATTAACTCACCCCTATTACACAAATGTACTATTTCCTACTCCTACTTTTCTGATTACTGCAACATGGCCAAATTAACACTGCCGTTGAAAGCACAGCTGATTTGTTCTAGTTTTAGCTGTATAACTTTATCAGGGCATAAATAGTTTTTAACATTAACTCTCCTAGGTTTTTAAAGCCTATAAGTAAATAAGGAAAGAAAGTAAGGGCAGAGGAAAAAGGAAAACAAAAAAATCTGGAGCTTCTCAGTTTGAGAAGATTATAAACTTCTAGAGACAAACAGTCCACACTTGAAGCCATGTTCTGCTCCCGTTGAAACCAATGCGAATTTCAAAATTTACATCAACAAGAGCAGGCTCTTACCTACAGACATGCTAAATGGGTGTGCATTGCTCAGACGTGCATCTAAGTTTAAGTGCACACTTCCCAACTGAAAGAAATGTTATATCACGCACACTTAGTACACAGTATTCAATCCAACATATATTTAAATACAATTTTTTACCCTTCCTTTCAATCTAGTAAAGGCATGTCTTTTCAAGGATCCATCTCAAGATTCAGATTACAGTTTTTTTATTGCTGTGGCCCTCTTCAAAAAGCAAGGTTGGTTTATTATATATTATATATATGGGCGGTCAAGTGATTAAAAAAATTAATCGCGATTAATTGCACTGTT